GGCACATTATTCTGTTCCACAAAGCAACCTGTCAACAAAGTAGTCACTATATATAGACTTCCTCTAGTTTTACAGGAGCTTGTATTCATGAGAGGCTGTCCTGGTAATACTGCAATATGAAAAGATTTACACGTCTTGATAACTGAAAGACCTTCTTCTAGTACCACTATATGGTACATATAGCTTGATATTTATCAAAATATTGGAACCCACCCATTACATTAGTCATACTGAACTCCAGATGGTAATGGGGGCTCCAACCAGGATTGTCATTTTCTAATGCATTCTCAAAAATGGAATAATATAATATGGTGAAATGATGGTGAATGAAAATGTGGTTTTATCCAATCTGAAGAGTCACCATCAAAGGCAGAGTGAACAGACAACAGCCATACAAAGAAGGGAGAAGCAATGTCATTTAATTAAATTTCCATAGTTGAAGTCCTTTATCCTACTGTAAACATCTTTGTTTTCTACTATTCAGGTAGAGAGACAACACTCGTGTTGCGAACAGGTTGTATACTGTAGGTCATTTTAGAAGGCAACGAAGCAAGTAGATTTTACAGCTGAGGCTATAACAGCACTCTTCAGCATACAGCATTAGACATTTATGAGTATGTCATCATATACCTACACTCAACCTTAGATCCTGCATCAAACATCTATGTGCAGTTCACCTTGTTACCTCAGCCACCAACTTCAAATCTGCATTTTTGCAGTAGATGTTTAACCCCTTTGTGATGTCTCTCTATTCAACCCTCTTTTTGAAGAGCCATCTTTTCATTCCCTTGCTGATACAATACTTATCTCAGCCTGCTGCTTCCTCTCTCCTTACAGTGTAAATCCCCACCCCTCCATTGTCCTCGGATCATATTTTGTGAACTCTCATCGCAGGGGGTGGTAATAGACGTTTCAGCACTAAGAACCTCTTTATTAACAATCAGCTGTGGACTACATCTCTAAGCTGATTATCCAGAGTTGTCTTCTCACCATTTCAATTAGGAGCATTTTGAATAGTCAAAAAAAGAAAAAACTGCATACCTTGAATTCATTACTGGCATTCTTAGAGCGCTACACAACATTCAGACATAGTAATCCAAGAAACACATAGCAGCAGTGAGGGGTAGAAGAATGACATCATTGCCGATTTTAATATTGGACTCACAGGGAAATGGCAAAAGTAGCTATTAACAGCAATCCAAAGCAATTTACTGCAGCAAGAGAGGCATGCAGTTTTAGCATAAATGGCCCATCTGGCAATCGCACGGATGTCATACATACTGTACACAAAAGGACATGTTCTCGAAAGAACTACATCAGACAATTAAAGAAAGAAGTATCATCATTACCATAAAATATTCTTTGTATTGACCAAAAATTAGCTTAGAGGACATCTATAGCCTCAAAATGCACTTTTTGCTTTGTTTTTGGATTTTCTTTGTCCCGTTGCCTTAATTTGATAGTTGACAGTCTAGAGAAAGAGGAAACATGGGCAAGAGAGGGATAAAACATTTAAAAATCTCCCAGCCAGGAATAAAACCATAGATACTGCAGTTATTTGCCAGTCCATATGCTTTAACCATTAGCCTTTCACCCCAGTATAGCTGGTTTAATAGAAGATGACAGATGTGATTGCTTTATGTTTCTGCTTTTATATGAATGTCTGTTCTCAGTAGAGTGTAAAAATGAACTGATAAACTTATCATTTCAAGTGGCGTGAAGAGAGGCTGGCTCATTAGCTGCGGCTTAAAACAATGTACCCCATAAGGGCCCACAGGGCGGTGAACACCTACATTTTTAATCTCACTGTTCATCAGTCTCTGTTCATGTCATTTCAGCAAAATTTGTAGAGGAAATGTCCCACACAGGGGACCTGGTGTCTGGGAAAGAGGGAGACGTGGAAGCAGAAGAGAAGGAAACTGACAGAGAGGAGAGGGACGATGAGGTTGTGACTCTCACTGCTAATAGATATTGGTCAGATGATGAGGATATTATCTGCTCAGAACTGTGGGTGTGTATGTATGTGAGCTACCATGTACAGTATTGTGATGTCATTAGCAGTCAAGCCAAAATATGATAATCTCGGGGTATTATCGGTATCTGTTTAAGGTATCTGGCTTTATCAAATACCTACTTGACACAGGAGTCACATCACTGTGTTTTATGATTCTGTTTCTGTCTAACTCTCACACTTATACACACACACACTCACACACACACATTAATCCATTCAGTCATTGTTAATCCAGCTGTGTGCTGGTACAGAGCTGTGCTGCACATGGCTGACAACCATCTCACTGAGGTGCTGATGTCAGTGCTATTGTTGTGAGCCACTCAGGGACACAAAGTACATGTGAATCTGTCACAAAGAATGAACCTTGTGCTCTGCTCTGCACATTATAGCACACTGAATTTCTCTCTATGGAGATCATCAGTGTCACAAATGCATGTGTCTCCGCACTAAGTGAAATGTCGTCATGTTCTCAGGTGTAACACTCTGACAAAGAGCCCAGCTTCACTTAGAGCTTCAGTCTAGGAAACGAGAGTAGAGCTGAGAAGGCATATAGTCACTGAGGATGTCTGCAGTAGTCATGTACCATTTGCCATAGAACAACTGCAGCTGAGCAAGTGAGAGTCTTGTGCCTTTTCCCCAGGCACCTTGAGAGCCTTCCATATTTCAACTGAGGTTTTCTGAGCATGTACATCATTTTGCACTAGTATGATTTCAGTTATAAATCCCTTTAACTAACCTATAGACTACTGATGTTCTGTCAAGTTGCCATATATTGTTTTTTTTTCCAGCTCACAAACAGATTGAGGTGTCAAAACAATAGTACAGCATTAGAATCATACTGCGCATTACGGAATAAAATAATGCAATACACATTTTATTGTGAGGTATGCTCAAAGACATTTTGGCAAACAGTGTCTCTGACCAAAGATTCTGTCTTCATTTGTCATATTTTGTTAAAAACTCCGAAATCGGTTCCAAGACATTTCAGTGTGAAACCATATTAATGTAAGTTGTACAGTCAGCAGCGTGGTTAGTACATGTTTTGCTTCTACAGGAGCCAGTTGCACCTGCTGCTGTAGACCTGCTGTAAGAGATGAGTTTACTAAATGTAGATTTGCATGTTACCAAATTAAAACAGGCCGCACCAGTGAAACGACTTTAATGGGCACAACAATGTGTTGCATATGTGTTGCACATCTACATTAAAGTGTCATGCACAGCTGTTTCCCACTGTTTCTGCAACATGCGTCCATCTAAACAGGACCAAGAAACTAACAAGAATACATAGGGAAAACATTTCAATGAGGAATTATAAATCAGAGGAATCATAAATATGTATTCTTATATTCCTTAACAGTGTAAACTGGCACACATCAAACATGGCAAAGTGCGCTGTTGTTAACTGACAAAAAAAAGCTCGAACTTGTTGATAAACTAGGCTATAACCATGTCTCAGAGGAAAAAGTTGCATATAAAACCATTATTTCAACAGAAAGACAAGTGTGCTGTGTCAAAGTGAGCAGAGAACTGGACAGCGGTGCTAAGCCTATGAAGAGTGGTACGGTCCTGTATATGTGCGGACGGAGCGAGGGATACTGCGACCTGAAAAGTGTTAAAATAAGACAGATGCAAATATTAAAAGGCAACATAAAGAAATCATCATTAAAAAATATGGAAAGGGGGATGGGAAGAAAAAAAAGAAAATTAAGATCCATGAGAAAGAAACGGATCATTGAGATCGAGACTGAACAAGGTTAAGAGAAAGAGGGGCATCGCGATAGAAACTCCAACTGGGGGTGATCACAGAAAAATACTGTGAAAACAAAATAAGTAAATGCAATAGAAAATAAATTAGAGTGATAGAGGAAAAGATACTGATGGCTAAAATGTAGCAGAGGAGACAGCAGGTGGTGGGGATTATACTGGACTAAAATACTTTGGGATCTACAGAGGGAAGGCTGCAGACATAAACTGTTACAGACTCCATCTGCCTGAAATAGACCAAAAAGAGCTGTAGGTTCACCATCACCATAACGATCAAATGCTGCCTAGATAGAAAAGCCACAGGGAAAAACTAAACAAAACACCTATAATTGTCTACACAACAGCTAGATGTGCTCGTGTGTTTATTAAACCCAGGTGGGAGAGATATCCGGTTGAGTTCTAAAGTACACAGAACATGCATAGCTATGTGTGTATGTGTGTGTTCATTACTAATACCCTAATCCACATTTTATGTTCAGTGTGATTAGGACAAAAGCCACCTGCACTATGCTTTTTTCCGTCCACACAAATGACTGCACCACAGGGGACAAAAATATAGACACACCTCTAAATATAGTGTAGTCCAGTACAACACCACCTTTAACTGTGAGCTCAATAATAAACATATAATTGAATTAATATATTTATGACAATTTCACCAAAAACTGAAACTTTTTGAGCTTCATAAACAAATGTTAAGGCAGAAGTGTTGCACTGAAGTGCATACAATCGTACAGGTGTACCTAATAAAAGTGTCCGGTGAGTGTAGTTCTACAGAGGAATCATCAAGTCTCTGCACTTCCATCACTGTCTGCTTTGGTTCAGCAAACAGAACAAACTCAATCGGACAGTCAAGACTGAAGAAAGAATAATCGGAGCCCCTACTATTCTCTTTCACATTTTAAATGCACATATTTTCATATTTTTCTTGCTGACCTAAAAGCACATTGCAAGCCTCTGTACCGGACACAAATTCCTAGTAGGTATAAACATACTTGGCCAATAAACGTGATTCTGGTTCTGATGACTGTGCATTGACAACAATTAAATGGTTTACAAATCCCTGCAATACTGCCTTTGTATCCATCTACACACATACACACAACCTGAGCACACACACCACTGCAGATACAGTCTGATACCTGCTAATTATCCTATCTCCCTCTGTGTGCAGAGAAAGGGCTAAGAGATTTCGAAGTTAAGGAATTTTTTTTTTTTTTACCTTTCCCTGTGTGTTGATCAAACTTTAAGCCTGCAAAAAAATAAAAGAAGAAAACATAATTAACGTTGTTTACAGAGTGGAGAACATACAGTGCGCCACCACACTGATGAAGCAATTCTGACAAAATTAACAACATTAGCTTCTCTCTGTAGGTAGGCAGAACCCACACTATGCTCAGTTCCTGTCTCCATTCTCAGGGCTCCTGTGTAATTGCCTTCTAAGCTGTGTTATTCAGTACTTGTACTTTCTGTCCCTGCAACAACAAGTAGTGGTTAGTACATTCTAGTCTCAGCATTATTGAACATATTGATTTATTTGTGTGCATGAGAGACAGAGTGTGTTATTGACTAATTATCTACCCTGACACGAGATAACTAATTAAATCCTTCCCTGGCAGCAAGCAGAAAGTAATTATTGTCCATGGATACATATCCACCAAATAAAAAAAATGTACATGTCACATGTGTGTGTCTGCAACACACACATCAAAAGAACATCTCTTGCATGCCTGCTCATACAATTATATCCACCAGTACTCAAATTACAAACCAGCAACCATGAATGATCACCTTGTTTTGTGAGCATCTGTATAAAACAATCACACATTCTTCCATCACCATCAGCTGCTTCCCAATAGCACATGCACTCAAACTAACTTATCTTCTTCTCTCTCCCAGGCAAAACAACATCAGAAGGCAAATGGATGTGAGTCCATTGACTCGCATCTCACAGTGCGCCAATATTATCCGTACTGCTGCTATGATTAAAGTTGGCAGCAATCAACCTATTTGACTTCTCCTAGTAGCTGAATGCACTAGCATGGCAGCAGTATAACAATGCTTCTTACATTTGACTGGTACTACGCTGGAGAATAAACTCTTACAGAGGTAAGTGTGAGGACACATTCCACATAGATTGCCATAGGGATGGTATTTTTGCAGACCAACCTGGAAGTTAGTATTACCCTCGTTCCCTCAACAAAAAGTCAATGGGATTTTCCATAGGCATTTGTGTTGCTGCAGAAAATGAGCTCTGTGACAGACAATGGTTTATGACACATTTTTCTCAGCATGATAATCTTCACAAGTGGCCAACACATTTATGATTTTAGAAGCCCAAATACAATCACCAGAAGTAAAAAGCTATTGTTGGGCTATAAAAAAATACCACAGTCCCCTGACTTCAGCATCATAGCTTCCAGCTTCTTTGATTTATAGTACTTACCTCTTCTACAAAATGCTTTCCTCTTAATGTGACCTGATCTAGCTGTGTCAGTTAGTTTGCAAGTGCACAAGTTTAAAACTAATGAGGCTGATTAAAAAATCCCAGATATCCTCTGTAGTCTCATTTAGCCACTTGTTAGCAACTGTCTTTTTTAAGACATGTAAAAGTAGGGTATTTACCAACTAATTTCATCCATCCATCCATCCATTTTCCTCCGCTTATCCGGGACCGGGTCGCGGGGGCAGCAGTCTAAGCAAAGATGCCCAGACTTCCCTCTCTCCAGACACTTCCTCCAGCTC